TGGTAATCTTACATTCTGTGAATCAAACGCACCCTTAAGGGTTTCCATATCTTTTATATGATAAAGTACATACATATTATTTGATTATGAAGTATTACTTTATTGAGTATTATGATTATTAAAAATTATAAATAATTATTTAATTATATAATATTATTTTATTGAGTCCCTCAATTATTAAAAATTATAAAATAATTATTAAAATATTTATATGTTTTAAATTAATCCATTAAAATTTTAACGATTGTCTAAGTTAGACGTTAATCTGTTGACTGTGTTATGGTAAAATTTGATCTCAAAACTATTTCAGTTGTATAGTCGTTTAAGATTATGATACTAAATTTATTCATATAAAAGTAAACAGTTAATGTCCAACTTTGACGATCATCAATTTTTTAACAAAAAATGAAAAGTTTGAAAAATATGTTTTGTCTGGTAGTCATTTTATAACTTTTAACAATCGAGAACTCAACTAAGTAATGTCTTACAGTCGAGAGACTCTTTTCTAACTTTTAATATTTATGGGACTCAACAAAATATCTCCCTATAATCGGTGACTATTTTTGTACTTTATCATTTTTTTAATATTCTTGATTGGTTACAAAATATTATTTATTCAAAATATTTCTGAACTGTTAATTTAATAGGATGATGAAATGTTAATGTTTTAAACTAAACAATATCTTATAATAGATCGTTATAGAATATAATTCAAAATAATAATATCTTCTTAATAATCTATAATGATTATAAAATAATATTTATTCATAATTTATTTTATCATTAATAATACATATTCTACCGATAAAACTGCTTGAACATAAGATCTCAAAAAAGAAGAATACTTCCTTTATACTATTAAGTGAATTCTCAAAATAATAATAAATAAATTAAATATAAATTATGATAAAAATAAAGGCAAAAAGCCATACGAGGTTTTTGTACTTTTAAAAAATTAATGTAGTTCTCGTATTATTTTTTATTTTAATGTGATCCTCAACTCATAAAACCAGCTTCTCTCTCAAATGAGTGGTTTCAACCCTAATCTAAAGTGGGGTTATAATTAATGGCCATTTTGTTACATTTCCGTCAAGTTTAATGATTATTTTATACTATGTGCTAAATTTAACATTATTTTGTAACTATTTAAATATTATAATAACTATTTTATAACTTTTAAAAAATGTGACCAGAATAATCAATTTGAGTATAGTTCAATGACGTGTAGTGTACTTTACTCTATAATTTATTATAACATCATCATAATGATCATTTTATATTAAATCGATAAATTTAATGATTGGTTTATAATTTTTAAAAGTTAAATGACCAAAACTATCATTTTAACATTAATTCAATATCCTCTTGTGCATTTTAACCAACAAAATTAGTTTTTTTTGTTCAAACTTAGTTGGCTACAAGTAGTAATTAGGGGTGTTTATAAGGCGAGTCGATCGTGAGTTGGCCAGAGTTCAACTCGTGCTCGTTAAAAAATTTTGCTGCTCAACTCGACTCGTTGCTCGTTAAGCTCGTTAAAATTGTACTAGACTAGTGCTCGTTAAAAAATTTGCTGCCCAACTCGACTCATTGCTCGTTAAGCCCACTAAAAAATTACCTTATTTTTTTAACTAAAATTAAAATTTATTAATACTATATAAGGATATTAGGGTTGGATTTTTTGTAGTAAAATAATTTTATTAATTAATAATATTTTATTATTTATTAAAAAAAATATTAGTTAACTTATTTTTTTATTATTTATTAATAAAAATTATTATTTAGATTTATTTTTTGAATGAAATAATTTTGAAGTAATTTCTAAAAATATATTTTTAAAAATTAACAAGTTACTCGTGAACTTTTCAAGTCGAGTTAGACTTTGCCCGGCTCAGCTCGTTAAGATCTCGAGTCGAACTAACTCAAGTCAAGCGTTTACCGAATTTTGACCGAGTCGAGTTCGAGTTTCGCACGAGTTGCTCAACCCTAGTAATAATGCATCCCAACCCGATTAACTGATTCCACAAGCAAAGCTAAACTAAAAATAACAAAAGAAAGCTAAACACGCCAATCACAAGCAATTCTCTTACCACGAACAAAGCGATATCAGTAGTTAAAGAATTGTTGTTTTTTAAAGTCTCAGATTCGAGAACCAGAATCCACCCACAACACGGGATGATATATTTCGACCCTGATCATTAAAAATATATTCTTTTAAAAAACTAAACGAGATGATAATCTTTCAATCTAGATTTACGATAGCTTATACTTTTATATTAAAAATATTAAATTCCTTTTAAAAGATATATACACGTAATATAAAAATTTAAAATTTCAAATGAAATCATACTTAAAGTTTAATATTTGTTTTATTTTAGTATCCCACGTTAAAAATTTAGTTTTTGTTTCATTTTAGTACCTTAGTTCAAAATTTAAAGTTAAGTTTAGAAAATTTTGAAAGTTTAGGTACTAAAATAGACCAAAACTAATATTTAGGTACTAAACGCGTTAAACTTTTAAGGGTACTAAAATGAAACTAAAACTAAACGTTATGTATGATTTAAAAGATTAGGTGCTAAATCAAACTAAAATTGATAATTTAGATACTAAATACATGATTTATCCAATTTGAAAAAACCCATATCGAGGATGAACCGAGAGAATATTTGAGTGTAATTATATTATCTTTATCATTTAATTGGATAAGTTCGGCAACTTCTTTGTAATATCATTTATATGATGCATCCACCAATTTTAGCCTTTTACTATTATTTCCCATTTTGGGATTCCAAAATTAAATAATTGCATTTACATGCTTTATACTAAATGACTCGATTTGATTTGATCATGTCATATTTTTTAAAAAAAATCAGGTCCAGTTCGTGTTTTTTAAAAGATATGTTCGGATCGGGTTAGGCTCGTGTTTAGGGTGAAAATATCCGACTTGACTCAAGTCGAAAAACCATAATTTTATTTTATATATTTAAGGATAATTATAATAATACTCTCTATATATTATTTTCTTTCAATTAAATCCTTCTTTTTATTGAATTAAAATAATATTTTTAATAAATATATTATTTCGAGTTAGGTCGGGCTCGGGTTTTATCTCAAATAATCAGGTCGGGGTAGGGTGGCAGGGTATATTTTTCGAGTCGGATGAAAGATTTAAAATTTTCAAGTTGGGTCGAGTAGACCGAAAATTCGACCCATGCCCATCCTTACATGGATACATAGATGGGTCGACGGAGGGCGGATAACCACTCTCTCGAAATTTAAAATGTATTATATATTTTAAAATTTTCTATATATTTTATATTAAAAATTTATTTTTCATCCCTAAATTTTATAAATTTAAGTTGATTATAATTCTTTTTGAAAATTCAAATTTATACCTTTAACACAAAATCTTACGAAGAGAGATGACAACCGTTCGAGTTCGGTGTGAGTTTTTTTTATTGTCTCGGCATTATCTATCCACATCAATAATATCTGTCTGAAAGTAGAGAATATTATAGACGTTATATACTGCTGGCATGCATTTCCACGTAGACTTAAATCCACTTTGTATATGACACGTGTCATGCTATGAGGCAATCAGACAACTGGAACGACATGGATGTTTTAGACATTCGTGTCTGGTTGAGGATGAGCTGTTTGCAAAGACTGGTAGTGGCGGTGAGAGTTTAAAAATCAAATCCCTTCCACTAAGCACTTGATTAGATTAATGGGGATCGTTCACTAGTTATGTAATTAAATTTAGATAAAATAATTTCAGTAACAAAAAAATGTTTTATAATATACGATTTTAATCAATTTTTTTTTGGATTTGCCAAAATTATCAACTAAATCGTAATGCGATCGATAATTCGTAATGCGATCTCCGATATCGCAAATCAGTTTCTAGATTCGCAACGCGAACTTCGACTATCGCATTGCGATTTACATATTCGCATTGCGATAGTCCAAGTTCGCGTTGCGATAGTCGAAGCTCGCGTTGCGATTTTCCAAATTCGTTGCGATAGTCGAAGTTCGCGTTGCGATTTATTCCAAGTTCGTTGCGATAGTCGAAGTTCGCGTTGCGATTTATTCCAAATTCGTTGCGATAGTCGAAGTTCGCGTTGCGATTTATTCCAAATTCGTTGCGATAGTCGAAGTTCGCGTTGCGATTTATTCCAAGTTCGTTGCGATAGTCGAAGTTCGCGTTGCGAATCTGAAAACTAATTTGCGATACCGGAGATCGCGTTGCGAATTATCGATCGCATTGCGATTTAGTTGGTTATTTTGGCAAATCCAAAAAAGGTTGGTTAAAATCGTATATTATAAGACATTTTTAGTCACTCAGATTATTTTCTCTTAAATTTATTATAAGGTAGAGCCCTTTCTCTCTTGCAGCCAATACAATTATGCGAGATGTAGGGACGAGCCAAAATTTTAATTTAAGAGGAATAAAGTATAATTAACAATAAAAGATTGGGAGGCAAAATTAAAATAAATAAAAATTTAGAAATCAAAATTGATAATAATTTTTAATGGTAAAAAAAATTAGGTGCAGTGGCCCCCAGGGCCTACATGGCACCCATTTATGATACTCTTCTAATGACTTAATATCATTTTTACATATTTTATCAATAAACGCATTAAATATACAAAAAAATTGGGATTTAGTTACCATTTATATTAAAAATATTAAATGTAAATTGATATTCTTTTTCAGCACATAAGGTAGGTTTTTATTACACACGTTACAACTTTTATTACCATTTATACAATTAAAAACATGAATTTAACTTATGGTAGTTTGAATAAGATTTAAGCATAATAAAAGCTGGTTGCATGTGGCTTAAGTGAATGAATCGTATTGCAAAAGGACCAAAGTGAGAAATTTACAATAGTCCAGAGGCCAAACTAGGTATTAAACCCAGAAAATTATGTTTTCCTAACATGCAACCAACAATACCTACTGGTTTTTCCAGTCTACCAAGAAATTAAATGAAGAGCCATCAGCATAAGGTTTTTCTTGATTACATTTGAAAAAAGTTTAGTTGTTCAAACTACAGGATTAAATAAACGGGAGAAAGAACTCGGCTCCGACGAACTATAGTCGATGCCGACAATGACGAAATGAACATTTATATTAGGAGAACTATGGACTGAGACTAGAACTTGAGTTGTTTCTTTGTGTCTATCATCGAGCATCTGCCGATGCGAATGAATCTGCAAACCCGGGTGGCCGGCATGGTATACTGGTCTGTGTAGTGTCCGTGCTGCCTAGAAACGAAGAAGAATCGTCCAAATTGCTGCTCCCTTCGAATGCTTGCCACTTTTTCAATGCTTGTGGTAAGGTTAATTCGAGGTCAATGCCGTATATGTCGTCGGAGTCGGGTTCTGAAGGTTTCCAGAGTTCCGCTAGTGATGACAGCACGTTGACCACATGACTCATATCTGGCCTTTGGTAGGGCTCCCTTGCACAACAGTGGCCAGCCAGCTCGGACACCGTGCTAACACTGGATACTGTTTCCTCGTCGAGCTCGATGGTTACGTCAATGGCCTTCCGGAATGTGTCCTTGTTCAAGCTCATCCTACGGAACCATGTCACGAGGTGCATGCTCTCCTCGGGCTGAGTTTCATCGAGCGCCTTCCGACCTGAGATCAATTCCATGAGGATGACACCGAAGCTAAATACATCTACCTTTGTTGTTACTCGTCCCGTAACTGTGAAAACATAAGCAACGCCAGAGAATTTATTATATAATTATGTAATGAAATCAGGCAGATGCACGAATAACTTCATGAACAAAATTTCCAGCAACTGTGAAAAGATGGCAATTACCTGCGTACTCTGGGGCTAAATACCCAAATGTTCCTGCGAGTCTTGTTTCGATAGACTGTTTGCCATCCAGAGGAGCAAGACGAACCAAGCCAAAATCTGCAACCTTGGCTCGCATATCGTCTCCGAGGAGAATATTAGATGGCTTAAGGTCTCGATGAATGAAACTCTGTTGTGCCAGACCATGTAGATACTCAACACCACGAGCGACATCAAGTGCAATTGTAAGTCGTCTAGTCCATTCGAGTGGTTTCAATCCTTCAGCATTCCAGTTGAATAGGTGCCTACTAAGGGTCCCTTGAGGCATATATTCATAAACAAGAAGCCTCTCATTTCCTTCCAAGCAATATCCAAGAAGTGTGACTAAATGGCGGTGACGAACCTTAGTGAGAACTGCAATCTCGGACTTAAACTCGGCCAAACCTTTATCACTCACGACGCCGGACTCCATCCTTTTCACTGCAATCTTCGTCCCATCATGCAATTCCCCTTTGTAAACTGTACCAAAACCACCTCTGCCCAATACATTTTCCTCGCTGAAATTATTCGTCACTTCCCTCAAAACCTGAATCGAAATCACCATGCTGCCAGCCTCAACCAAGTGAACATCACTCGGTGCACTGCTCACGTGGCTGAAAGTTTCACTTCCACCAGTGATACTAGATCCAGCAACGGTGATTTTAACTCCATCTTGGTCGCCTGAATGATGAGGATGTATGACCACCGTAGTTGGACTCCGCACTCTACCAGCACGCTTTCCTCTTCTAGCATACAAACAAACACCCAAACCAACAAGACCCAAGCCACCAACTGCACCGATTACAGAACCCACAACCGTCCCCATTTTCGATTTCTTTTCACCATTCCCAGATAAACTACCATCACCGCCACTGGGAGATCCAGCAGGGGACCTACTTTCCGGTGTAGGATCCCTTTCTTTTCCAATATCAGGGTTACCATCAATTATTACAGACACATTCGATCCAAAAGACGGTATTTTCCCGTACAGCTTGTTGTTTGAAACATCTAATCGCTTGAGCTTCGGCAATGTAGTGAGCTCCGTCGGTATCGTCCCGGTGAGATTATTACCAGAAAGATCCAAGGTTGTCAAAGAAGTAAGGCTAGCAAAATTACTCGAAATCATACCGGTAAGCCCTTTTTTCGCAAAGAGAACAGACACAATATTTCCTTGGGCACAAGAGATACCCAACCAACTGTTACAAGGATCATTTCCTTTCCAATTATCAGCGAAATTCTCCGGATAACCAACCGATTCCATTATAGACAACAATACATTAACACGATCATCACAAGCAACACCAGGATCATCCAAGCAAAATCTGTTACTACCAGGAGTCATATCTACAATTACACCATCAGCAAACTTAGGGGTTGGACCTTGAAGTTCATTATTAGTCAAATTCACTATATGTAATGTCTTCAAGTTAAGCAAAGACATCGGAACAACACCAGTGAACTGATTATCTCTCAGGCTCAAATGTTGCAGACCTGTTAACATCGAAAAATCCGGCAAGGGACCGGAAAACCGATTCCCATGCAACCATAATTCTACCAAAGAAGACATGTTCTGTATCACTTCGATTGTCCCATTCAAACTCTGCCCATTAACCCACAAAGACTGAATACCAGAACCGACTAACCCGGCAGGCAATTCTCCTTCGAGATTGTTCATGGCCACATGCAATTCTTGCAAACCTGGGAAAGTAACAGAGTCAAACAAACCTGGAAATCTCCCATTGATGTTAGCCTTGTTGGCAGAGAAAGTTATCAAGGTAGTTGCCTCCTTTATACCCTCTGGAATCTCCCAAGGCTCGAAAGGGTTGTAATCGAGATAAATACGAGATAATGAACTCAAACCAGTGAAGAAATCTTGACGGAAAGACGAGAAATTGTTGTTGAGAAAGTTAGCTTCTTGCAATTGGCTTAAACCAGCAAAGCTTGGGATTGGACCACTGATTTGGTTGTTCATAACTTCAAAGATTTTAAGCTCAGACAAATCTTTGATATCGGAAACAAGGGTGCCACCAACATTTTGACTGGGAATTTGAATCCTGGTCACCCTCTGGTTTTCACAGCCAACATGAGCCCATTTGCAAGGATCAGAATCAGACCAATCAAGGGAAGATGGGATCTTTAAGCTTGCCTTGAGTTTTTCCATGGCCGGAGAGTCCGGGCTAGTTTGAGAAGAAACAAGGGAAGTAGCCAAGCAAAGAACTAAAAGAGAACAACTCACGAAACGAGGCTTCTCCATTGTTGTTTTTTTTCTTGGGAAAATCGAGAGAGAAAGTGAGGGAATCTGAAGGGAAAGTTTAAAACTTTATGTTGCTGTTGTTGGCCGAATGGTTTTCTTCTTCAAAGGTTTATGAGGCATTGATGATCTGATGAAAAGGAGAGCCGCATAAGAGAGAGAAATTAAAAAAAGGAAGGTAAGGAAGAAAGTGAAAGAGCGGTGATTGAGAGAGATTGAAACGGCGGGGAACCAAACCAAAGAGAGAAAGAGAAAATATTAAAGGGAAAATTACAAATTTGGTAACTGAATTTTAATCTCTCCCTATTCCACTCATTATACTTTAAATCTTTTCACTTTCTTCACTTAACTTAATACATTGATTTTTTTTGGTCACTCAGCCGTTTTCTCACTAACAGTGCTATGACATGATTTTTTATTTTATCACGAGTAACTAAAAAAATTCAATGCATAAAGTTCAATGATTAAATCGAAAATAATTAAAAGTAAAATGAGTAAAATAAGAGAGAAAATTCAATAAATAAATTTATAATTTACACATTTAAAAAATAAAATAAAAGAAAGTCATGTCATACCGTGTTAGTGAAGAAACGACCGAGTGACAAAAAATCCCAATGCATTAAGTATACTGAGAAAATTGAAAATATTTAAAATACAGTGAGTGGAATATGATAGAGTGAAATTCAGTTATCAAATTTGTACTTTACCCAAAAATAAATAAAATAAATAACCAAATCCACAAGATCAAATCCTTTAAAAAGTTTCTATATAATGATATTAGGGCAAATTCACCAAAAGTTCTAAATTATGGCTTAAATTTTGAATTAATCCTCAAACTTGAAAATATTCCTTAGATAGGCTTTAAAATCCTTTTGTTCAATTTTGGAAAAATAAAAAATTTTAAGACCAAAAACATATCATTATAACTTGTCTTCAATAGGCTTTAAAGACTTAATTAAAATATTTTCAAATTTGAGAACTAATTCACAATATGCTTCATAGAACAAAGGAGTCTAGTATGATTAAACCAATAGTGTTGTATTAAATACAAAAAACAATTAACTTTATGTTAAAATATTTTATATGTTAAAATATTACTTTTACCAAATTTGAAACAAATATATTAATTGTAAAAAAAATTATTGTTACCATAATAAATGTCTTGTCATATCAGTTACAATTTTGACTGCACAGGAGAACTTCAACTTTAGAAATAAAATAAAATAAAAGAGTGAGATACAGTTGGCACATGTAATTGGTCCTACTTTTCTTTAAAATTTAAAATAAAAAATTAATATTTTAATCAATTAATTATGCATAAATATATATGGGGTAAACTACATCATATGTCACTTAACTTTAAATGGTGTGTCATTTATACCATTGAACTTTCAATATTTCCAATTATAATATTGAATTTTGGTTTTAACCTCAATTATGCTACTTGGTCGTTAAAATCCGAACAATGTGATAACATAGACAAAATGATATTATTTTGGTGTAATTATTGATGCCTAAAACGTAATTCTTGGTACTGATATTTAGGTTGTATCGATTTTACCACTAAACTGTTATACATATCACTTTTTGACACTACACTATTTCTGTTGTCATAGACAACCGATCATTGACTGTAACTTGCCATCTTTTTCGGTAAAATATATATTAAAATATTTATATTTCACTCATGTCTTTTCTTTTATGATTAATTTTTTTTTATAAAATCCACTCAAAATTGATAAAATTAAATAAAAAATAATTATTTTAAGGTTTTGAGATTTTTTGGGTTTGAAGAAATATTGGCGTTGTTTGAAAATTCAAATAGTGAGAAATATTATTTTAAGAAGATGATAACATACATCAAAACTATTGTTATCGGACGGTCATCAAAAGGTATCAGAATGTCAATAGTCAAGCTTTTAAATTAGATTTTGTCCATTTTGAGTGCGTTTCGTGAAAAACAATCCCAACAGAAGAAAGAATAATGAAATGCGATTGTTATTTTATCGATATTGTCGAGAAAGACAACCAATAACAAACAATAATTGTTAGTCAATAACGACCAAAATAGTATGTATCCAAAAAGTAATTTGCTTGAAATTTTAGTGATAAAATCTATACATCTCTAAGAATCAGTGTCTAAAACGACATCGTTTTGGCTATCAATAGTCATCATTAAAATTACATCATTTTGTGAAAATATCATAAAACATAATCGTATTTTTAAAATTTAATGACTAGATGACATAATTGAAGCTAAAATCAAAGGTGAATTGGACGGGTTCATATCACATTATTATAAATATTTACAATTAAATTTAAACAGAAAATTAAGATCTTTATTCGATTCAAATTTAATAAATTTGACTCAATTAAAAAAATTAAAATCTTAAAATAATAATTGTCAACTCAATTAACTTACTCTATTTTTTAACTCAACTCAATCAAATATCAGTTAACTTAAACATTATGTGTATTTTATTACCATAATTTATATACCGATGGGCGCATGAGACTTGAACCCAACTAGTTTTGATCTGACTTGATCTGATTGGGTCAGAGTTTTTTTTATAAAAAAATCAGGTTTTGGGTCATGTTTTTTTAAAAGTTATGTTCGAGTCGGGTCGGGTTTAGATTTAGGGTGAAAAATACCCGACTCGAAAAAATATATAATTTTACCTTATATATTTAAGGATAATTATAATAATACTCCTCTACATATTATTTTTTTTCAATTAAATCCATATTTTTATTGAATAAAAAGAATATTTTTAATAAATATATTATTTTGGGTCCAGTCGGGTTGAGTTCGGGTTATAACTCAAAAAATCGGATCAGATTCGGATTGGGTGGAAGAGATATATTTTTTAGATCAGATTCGAATCGAGTGGAAGATTTAAAATTTTCGAATCGAGTGGACCGAAAATCCGACCCGACCCGAGCCATGCGATCGCTAAGCAATTCACCATAATTTCATAAATATTTTCACCATAATTGAAGTCACAACCAAAAGTAAATTGGACGAATTCATACCATATTATTATAAATATTTAAAATTAAAGTACTAAAAATATAATTATGTCTAATATCAGTTAACTTATACATTATGTTTATTTTGTGATATTATTTTTTCTAAATTTTGGTGGAATTAATTAATCAAAACAACTAGTTTTATAGGTGTATTTAATGCAATGTCCACTATTCATAATGTCCAGGTTGGAAATTTCTCTGTTTCATATTTTGTGGTCCAATCAGCGAGAAATTAATTAATTTTGTGATATTATTTTCTCTCTCCAAATTTTGGTGCAATTAATTAATTAAAACAATTTTCAACTTTATATGATTTAATCAATTTTTTGTAATTTAAATTTGTATCGTATTAGATCATTTGTTTTTAAATTAAGTCAGATTGAATTCGATTTTAGGATAAAAATATGATCAAATATGACATAAATTATAAAGGTAAACTATATTGTCATGGACCGTGAGATCGAGCTCGGGACATTGGTACAAGAGTCCTTCAAAGAGTTTTAATTTGGAGTATCGAGCTTGTCAATACCACCTGACTTTCACTTGGAAAATGATAGAGTCTGTTCACATTACAAGTGCAAATATGGAAAATGATATCATATTGAAGGATGATCATAAGAGCTTGGTAGATATGGTAAAAGACAACAAATCAATGGAGATTGTGGAGGATTCTTACCATATCAAGTGTGAACACCCATCTAAGGAAAGAATGAGACTAATTGACATAATTAAGTTGGTGAAGTGATTGACTTTTCATATATAAGGGGATTTGTAATTAATTGGGTTCATCATAGCCGTAGATGTAAATAGATCTAGACCGTTGATTGTGAGGGAGCTCAAATATAAATAGAGAGTTTCCCCTCTTCAATTGTATCATCTCATTCCATCAATTCTCTTTGAGAAAGTAATAAAGCTATGAGGCATTTACTCTTATTTCTCTTGTTCCTTTCAATTGCTCTAAGTTCTTAAGTTTTCTTTGTGTTTGCTTCCTCTCTAGGTGGCTAAAAGTAGCCTCTGTGATGTTTACACTTTCGCACGAGTGTTTGACTTTGGTGGCTTGATTGGCCACATTTGTTCTAAAACTTCTGCATCCATCGAAGCCTTTAGGGCTTGGTTCCGACCCTTGTTGAGTTTGTTTGCTCATAAGACTTGGTTTAAGGTTGACTTAGGTGCAGAATTGATCAAGTAACATTAAGAGGCGTCTAAGGCCGCATGCTTTGGAGTTGGCATCTCCAAGGGCGTGACAATACCAATGTCTACTTAACTATCATCTTTTTTACTTTAACAATCGATTTTTTAATTTTATTAATAAGACCACTTAATTTTTTAATTGTTATTAATTAAGCCACTAGTTGTTAACATATAACAGACAAGGTTAAACTTATTTAAATTTATTAAAATTAATACCAAATTAATATAATGGATAAGTAACAATGATCAAATGTGTAATTATACCAACTTTTTAAATGCCACATCACCTTGTCTATTAAATGTTAATGAATAGTGATTTTATTGACAACAATTAAATAGTTAGATGATTTGATTAACAAAATTAAAAGATCGATGATTAAAGTAAAAGGGGAAATAGTTAAATGGTCACTGGTATAGTTTACTCATCTTATACAGTACAAAATCAATGTTTATATGACAATTAATGATTTTTAACGATTTTATTAACAAGGGGCGTGATTAGCATGTATTAATAGTTTGAGGATGGAATTAAAATTTTTAAAATTTTAAAGATCAATTTAGAATGTGAGTCATAATTTTAAATAAAACTAAAATATCCAAAAAAATTACAAACCAATTTAAAATGAGGGTCATAATTTAAAAAAAAAGAATATTAAAAAGTTTAGGGATATATTCATAATAAAAATCATAATATAGAGAATGCAACCCAATTAACCCTTAAAAATGTCATGTCTTATTTTCCTTAATGGTATATATATTTCAAAATTATATAAGGCCAACAAATTATCTAAACCCAAGCCCAATTTTAATTTATTTTATGCCCATTACCCAAAAATCTAATAAATATGTATACTTCACCGGTACTTATTGAGGTTCTCAAATTTTTAAAAACATTTTTTTCCACATAAAACTTTGAACTTAGAAAATTAATTAATGTCAAAATAATTATTGATCGTTACATTATTAATATG